AGTATTTCGAGTTTTTCTCCATGAAAAAAGGACTTTTAAATATTTTAAAGGTGATATTCGTGATCAGCTGAACAAGACGAATCAGAATATGTATGACAAATTGAAAAATAAAACCCACTCGAATTTTCCATTAGATATTGAGTTAGCTAGCTAAATCGCCCGATAGTCGATATTTGTTTTCTGCTTGGGTACCGTAGAATGAACACAAAAAGGAAATATTTGTTATAGTTTTTTAACTTTATACTTGATTGTCATGATGACGATTATAAAGTTATAGGTTTTTTGTGTGTTTTATCTCTCGTAGTGCGAATACACAGAAATTCGGGAAAGTCTGTCCAATGCTCGAATGTATAAAAAGAGACATGTATGTAGACGTTTTTTTGAATTTGCAACTTTTAGATTATAACAAATATTAGCCGAAAAATTTAATCTGAATCGAGTTATTGGAATTTGATTTTTAGTACTACAGAGGAAAAATGCACCTCGACTGGGACTCGAACACAAGACCCTCTGATTACAGGTTCCTGGGTTCGAGTCCCAGTCGAGTCTCGAATACAATTCTGCGTTCTTTAAGTGAAATAGAATTCTTCGATATCAGTGCAATTTGCTACAAAATCGGCTTGTATTTGGCCATTTTGACCAGTAGATTTCTGCTTACGAGCAAAATGCATGTCATATTCAATTTCTTATTTTTATTTAATTTTTACAAGGAAAACGTACTATAAATGGAAAAGTCTCTGTTTCTCTACGAGTACTCATTCAGTCACCGAGAAAATTTCAGGCGATATAGAAATTTGATTGTTCTATCGAGCAATGCAAAAATTAGCCATAACCTTTATTTATAAAAAATTTCGGAATTTTATACCGATAGATACGAAAAAGTCTTAATATGCACACCTCTACTTAGACACTTTTTTTATAACGACTGTAGGCTTTGCGAGGATCTTGGTTGAATGAACTGGAGTAGCAACAGTGTGATCAATTGGCTAGCATTGTTATGGTCAAAAACTATCTCTGTTTTTAGTATGACTTCTACCGCCAGAAAACCTGGCATTATTATATTAGGTAACAGTGGTGCTGGTAAAAGTTTTCTTGGAAATGTGATTTTAAATCGTGAAGCATTCGAACATGAATATCAAATGCAAGCTACCACAGTAAAAACCGAATATCAAGAATGTATCCTAAATCAGAAAACGTATGCTGTTTACAATATACCTGGTCTTATTGAATTAGATCAAGAACGTATTGATATCAATATACAGGAAATTGACAAAGCATTTCAACAACATCCGTATGCTGTTGTAATGTATGTGTTTGGAACTACAAATGGTAAAATTCGAAATGAAGACATTGTAGCATTTCATGCTATCAACAGTGCATATCCTCTTAGTGAAAAGTCCTTGATAATTATTGTCAATAGTTTGAGTCCAAACCGTAAAGCTGATTATGAATCACAAACAACATCGTTGTTAACTCAACACTTCAAAATGAATCTTCCGTACATTTGCTATGTGAATGAAATTAGTCATGAAAATGAAAAGCAACCACTTCGTCAACAATTAATACAAACAATCACAACAGCTATGCCAAAAACGCATGAAAAACAACATGAAATTGAGTTGGTAGCGGCGCAATTACAAAAATTAATAAAACAAGTTGCTGAATTTCAAAATATAATTGAAAAACAGCAAAACCAAATCGACGAACAACAAAAAGTAATCGAAGATTACAAACGACAAAAAGAAGCAACCGAAAATGAACGGCAACGAAAAGAATATGAAGAGACAAAGCGACAACAGAGGGAAGAAGCCGAAAATCAACGGCAACGAAAAGAATATGAAGAGAGAAAGCGACAACAGAGGGAAGAAGCCCAAAATCAACGGCAACGAAAAGAATATGAAGAAAGACAGCGAAAAAAAGAGGAAAAAGTTGAACAGGTCGGACGGGGAAAAGGTAAGGTCTGAATATGGTCACACGGCTCACAAGATATTATTCTGATTAGCTGCTCAGGTTCCTTTCATCTTTAACTTATGCGTACTCTTACTGGTTCAAAAACTGACGATCCGATCATCTAAACTCCGCCAAAAACTCTTTCGAAAACCCACAAGGATTTCGGACTAGACTTCGATAACACTTATACGTTCCGAACAACACATTTTCGGTTTCTGAACTTTCAGAGATCTTCAGGCTCTCGATAAAATGCTTCGGAAACACAAAAATGTATCCACGTAAACCGTTTTAGCATATAAAAGCTATTCGAAAACCGAAACGGTGTGTGAGAATACTCTTGTTTCTGAAAATTTTTCTCCTACACGCCTCTCCGTTTCCATCTTATTATCCGTTTCCGTCTTATTTTGATCAGAATTTTGGGGACTAAACCTCCTCCCAGAACAGAAGGCCATGGCCTTATATGATGGTTTCACATATCACATTTTTTTTGGTGAAAAACTGTTCTACTCCTCCCTATAGGGTATTTTTCAAAATTTTTTCGACCGATCTAAAGCATCTACTTCGACTTCTACAATTTATCTCGTCGCAAAATAGCAATGAGAATATGAAACCTGCAGATTGATAAGGACCTGTTTACAGAGTTTTATTTAAAAATAAAAAGTACACGTCTCTGTTTTTTGAAAGATCTGGGACCTAATTTTAGTGCGAGTTTGTTTACTTGCATTCGACAAATCTCACTATGAGCTTGTTATACTTCCTATTCTCCTGCTTTTTTGACACTAATCGATGAAAAACTTCTTAAGAAGTTTAGTTGCTATTTTTATTTCTTTTGGATCAAATGAACGAAATAGCGTTTGTTTTGTAATTTTATGCTCAGACAAACGTACTCTCATCTACTATATAACGACCTTTTGTGTTTATTGTTTTCTTGTTTACTTTAGGCCTAATTTCTTTGTTTCGGACTCTTTACACGTTTCCATGCGCAATTAGACATGCTTTTTTAAAAGATACAGCACTTCTTGGCATTTTCTCTATCCTCTCATCAGATAAGAAATACAGAAATACCAAACCGGTGCTAGCTTTATTTCATGCACTGGACGTTGGAGGTGTTAATAGCCCTTTGTGACACCTCTGATGCAGCAATGGCAGAATTCCTACATTTCAGACATTCTACAAAATTCTATAGAATTCTACATTTTCCCTATGAATTCTACAACAACTTTTTCACAGCTGAAACATGATAAGTCCGAGTTATTCTCAAAACAGAAATCTAGGAAATGTATAGAATTCTATAGAATTCTACGTTAGCATATATATACAATATATTGACCAAGTTTGAGTCAAGCGGAAATGTATAGAATTCTGTAGAATTCTATGTCTGTACTAACGTAGAATTCTATACGTTTCCGCTTGACTCAAACTTGGTCAGTATATTGTATATCTTTGCTAACGTGGAATTCTATAGAATTCTATACATTTCCGCTTGACCGACGGGGAGGGCGGGGGCGGCGGCCGTGCTTGATAGCGAGTCACTAATCAACTATATTCGTATTAACGTAGAATTCTATAGAATTCTATACATTTCCGCTTGACCGACGGGGAGGGCGGGGGCGGCGGCCGTGCTTGATAGTGAGTCACTAATCAACTATATTCGTATTAACGTAGAATTCTATAGAATTCTATACATTTCCGCTTGACTCAGACTTGGTCAATATATTGTATATATATGCTAACGTAGAATTCTATAGAATTTTATACATTTCCGCTTGAGTCAAAGTTGGTTAGTGAGAAATGTATCTGTACTAGCGTAGATTTCTATAGAATTCTGTAGAATAGCTGAATTGCAATAACTCTGACATCCCTCCTCTGATGATGGTGGCGATAGCCATTGCTGACACCTCCAGTAGGTGTCAATAGTTCTTGCTGATACCCCAAGATGGTGTCAATAGCCATTCCGAATTTGTTTTATCTTTTAATGAATAAATTTAGGACAACTGTACGGATAATTTTTGCCAACCTATGCATGGACATTCCATGATAATTCAATATGAAATTTTGAAAGCCGTTTGCTAAAAGGTTGTTCCCTCTACGAATTATGCGGCAAATAAGGACTTAAAATTTCTTTCATATAGTGACCAACCTGGAGACCTTTTTTTAGGTTTCCGAGAATACGTTTCTTTCGAGAAAGCAGTCTAGTCTTGTGTAGTTAAGTAGGATTATACCGATTTTTCTATATAAAAATGTCGAAAATATGTTGATACGATCTAATAGGATTATGGAAAATAGAGCCTTGCAACTATTGATGGATTGCACGCTGCAGATATTTTCTACCAACAGGTTCATTTCTCCGTTGGTGTCGCCGTTATGGACCTGAACGTAATATTTCATTCAGGAAACCAAAATGACCTCGGTGAGAATCTTGAGCACTTCTCGAAGAAATCTTGATAAGGTCTTACCAACTAAGTTCTTATCAAGATTCCATTTAAGATTCCTTAAAGGTTTCGTCAACATTCTTGCAGAAATCCATTCACCGTTTTACTTTGCTGTCATGCACCATATATATATATACGTATACCATGTTTTTGGTGATAGAAAAATAGAATTATAGAATTTACTTTTGCCTGCTATTTAAGGGTGTAATAATAAGTTTACTTTGACGGTCCTTTATTATGTGAGACATAAGAAGAAGTAAAGTCAAATCTCTTGAGATCAAAGCATGCACAACCTTCATAAATTACGCTGATGGTACCTTTCTCTGCCATCATTCATTTTCTCACACCTTATCCTAACTTTACTTCTAAACAATTACTCTTATTCTCGTTTTATAAAAAGCCAAACTTCGTTTTCTGGAAAATCGTTCCAATTTACAGTCCTACGATAGTACTACTAATGTTCATCCGCATAGCTTTTCTTCTTTAGCTTGTCGCGGTTGTATGGTCATGTTTTTTGTGGTCGTGCTGGTCGTACTCATTATTGTGGTTATGCTCCTGGTCCTGCTGGTACTTATTGTTGTGGTTGTCGCAGCTACGTATAACCGATAGGATTCTGCAGACTTTGTTATATATTGATACTAAAATTTGTCTTTTTATAGATTATGTATGTTTGAATGGATAAAGTTGGAATACTAGAGAACTCGTTCATGTTTCAAATGAACGTGTTTTTTCCTGAAGTGCGAAGTTCTTTATTGTGTTTACTTCTGTAGTTGTTTTTGCTCATTTTATCGGAATGCTTGCGTTACGGGATGCATTTTTTCATAAGATCATGATAATGGAAGCAATGTCTAAAATTAAATTAGATCAAACCAATATACATTAACCCTCCCGCTATAATAGAAGACCGCCTGGTCTTCTGTTTTGTCCCAGAAGTCGAGTTCTAAAGGGTAGTCTTCTATTGCGGTCAAAATTTGTCTCCTACTAGTAGTCCAACGGTAACCCCTCACATACTTGAAGTCCATCCCTATTAGAAGGACATATTGGCAAAATGTTTTCTAGACAACCTAAACATTTTCAACAAACAGTAGCAGTAAAACAAGCAGAAAAATTATACATATTTTATCGTTATACACAGAAAAATAACATAAAAACTCTTAACGATATTCAGAATGTATTTCCTGAAATGTTTTTCGGACGTGCTTGGGTAATTTCTGAGCAAAATCTGGTTCAGGCTAATATAGATTTATTAATCTTGAAATTTTTTCTAAATCTGCGAGAAATAATAAAAGGAAAAGTTTAGACACATAATAGTTAAACCACAACTTCATCAAGAAATAATTACCTCTAATACATAAGGATCTTTCTTTATCCTTTTTTTGATTTTGATTCTTGGTACACTGTTAGTAATAAGGTTAATTGATCTATAAATAATTTAGATATGATTAACGACAAGAAAATCATTAGAGTGATACTAGACATGAACCAATTCGATAGTTCGATCACCAGACGGTTTGTTACCCAGCGTGTTCGGCCTGGAAACTTGATGCGCCCGTTACATTCGAATTAGGGTTACAATGTTCTATTTACTTTATTTGCACAGTGAGGAAAAGCATTTTTACATGGAAATAAAGTAAATCAATCTACAACAGAGGCCACATTGGTAAAGTATGCTTTAATTAGAGAGTAAATCAGATATAACGGAAACTAAAAGTACTTTGAACTTCCTGGAATAAAGCAAACATAAAATTGCTGCTCTGATGCAAACTTTCTTTACATGACTACCTACAACCATGGCGTAATCATGGCTGCTCCTTCGTCTGGTGTAATCTTCACCATTTTTTCTATTTTACAAAGTTTTTTCGCTCTCATGTTCTTAGCTTTGACAAACTATTTTTTCAAACCTTTGGTAGCGAATCGCTCGTTGACCGAACATGTTCGATAGTGATCCGGTAGAACACACATTCGCTCACATTGTACTTTAGTTCGTCTATCTTCGCACCGGTTAATTCTTTCAAAATCTTCAGTTTCATCCCGTTTGTTTTAGTCTAGACTAGACAAGCAACCATCCCAAGCTACGGCTCGCTGATTGGCAGCGAACATGCTTGGTAACAAGCCGTTTGGTGCCGATCACCGAGCTCTAGGCGGGATTGTTACACGCCTAAGTATACTTAGGCATGTAACATTGCTGCTAATAATAAGTTAGTCAAATATTTAGCCATGTTATGATTATAAGCACTATAACTGGAAATAATGGAACGAACAAGAGGATTACATTTGTGCATCTCAGGTAGAAAGTAAGCGTCTGGTGTACCTGACTATAAACCCAACACGGCTAAATATTGTACACATGGATCCGATTTTCTGCTTAATGCTTTTCGCTGTTTAGAAGGTTTGTCTGTGAGAACTCCATGTATTTCAATGGAGTGATGTCTCTTTTCCTCCCACACAAATTAAACGAGTGTCTCTTTTTCCTCCGATGCATAAAAAGAAAAAAGACAATCTCGAGTGCAGTTGATTGTGTCTTAATTAGCTTAATTAGTTTAAAAGATAATGATCTCAAATCGTATGGTAGAGAGAGGAAG